ATGAAAAGATTCTAATGAGAAATAAGGTATCAATTTCTTCTATTGAAGACAAAACCTTGAAAATTGCTTATTCAATAAGACAATCATAAATATTCAAACAATAAATTAGTACTTTCGTGGTAATCACACCCATAGAACCACCCATTAATATTTTAAAAAATTTATCTATTATAATATTTGTATATAATTCATGATTGTTTTTTATTTTATTTAAAAAAAGTCAAAATAACTAATATTAATAATAAAAAAAATTTATTTACAGGATTCATGTCATGATTATTCGATATGTTTTATGTTATATGTCAAATATCTGATCCAACCCTCGACTTTTTCATTCAGATAACGGCCAACAACACTATTATAAATAAAAATTTTAAATTAAAAAAAGTATTTAAATAAAATATAAACTCATTTAATTTTATTTTAAAATATGTGATGATATTTATAAAATTATTTTATGATTCTTATTTATGTGTGGTCATGATCATCTATAATTTTTGGTTTTGTGAGCATTATTTAGCCACTTGGAAGTGATGAATTCTCACTTGAAATGGGTCAAATGAACAATGACAGGACAAAATTTATTTTATGTGTTGTTATTCTACTCTTTGTAGGCTTGAATCATCCCACCATCCTTATTAATTAATATGATGACATACTTGGCTAAATAATTTCTATTGTATTATAATAAGGATTATGACATTGAGGGAAAAAAATGAAGCCCATCCTTGCTGATGAGAGAGGAGTGTACCTTCTTAGAAAAGGGATTTTAAATATATATATATATATATAATTAGATTAACATGCCTAAATAATAAGATCATTGCAAATGAGTCAAGCCAACTTATGCGCATGTTCGAACTCGACTCATTAACAAATTCATACGTCAAGCTTATTGAGTTTCGAGCCCAGGCTTGAGCGGATTTTTAAGCTCGTTAAGTAATTGAGTTCGAGTACGATTGAATGGAAGCTCAACTTGTTTACTCGTTGAGTAGCTTGATTATAGTCGAGCTCGAGTTGGGAATGACTTGACTGACTCTTTTGCGACCATAAAGTGAACAAAGTGTGCCAAATTGACACATGAATCTTCTTAAACTTAGTTGTTAGTGGTCACAAGACTCTAATCATACATAAACTTGACCATTTACTGCACCTAGTATAATATGACATGTGTTGACCATTCATGCTAACTGGACTTAATTAGATATTGACTAATTCATGCAATAGATTTCTATCCGACTAATCGGACAAAACTAAATGTGAGTAAGCCATATTAGACTCAACGTTAGCCCTATAAAATCATATTGAAGCCAATTTGGCTCATGACATGGCTTTGAGTCCAAACTGAGCATAATGCTAGGTTGACCTCTCTACCCTAAACTTAACTCAAACTTCTCGTGCTACGTAAACTCAGGACCTCTTTGTTAGGCCAACCCAAGCTTGTTAAGTTTGAGCTTCAAGAAACGCATTACATCTCGTCTTAAGCAGTAACAATATCATCTCTTCTCCAACCAAGAACTATTCAAAGACTTATCAACCAACCCTAAAGCATATCCTTTGTCACTTTAACTAGCTAGCGGTTCCTAAACTGCTATTAAAAACAAAACAAAACAAAGCAAAAAAACAAGGACTTTTCAATGAGGGGAGATGATTTTCCTCGTACTTTTAGATATACTCGTAGTCCCATACATCAAATACTCTCTTAAAATCCCATATCGATATCTTTTTCCACCCTTTTGAGCACCATATGCTTGAAATCAAAGAGCTTTTATGATACCATTGGCAATATTGATTACCTATAGCTTCTTCTCAATGTAATTTGATATATAAATTTTTCTCATATATCAAAATAAGCTATGTTCTATCAATAAAAAAAGAGATCATGCTATTTACATTTTTCAAGCTAATATGATCATTTCACTATTTGAAAATCAATTACTTTCGACAATTAAAGAATTATCAATAAAGATAAATTTACTGTTCAAAAAGTGTATATGGACCGAATCTTTGGGCTGATGGGCCTTTTTTTCGGCTTGTTTGGTCGTTATAGGCCTTTGTTATCGAACGATTTATCACATAGATATTCGGGCCGGGAAGAGATATAAATTTTGTTTTTATTATTATTTTTTAATATTTGTTGGTTGGAACAGCTCCATTTAGATGGTTTGGTCACAAAAAATATTGACCTTTTTGATGATTCTATTAGGAGAGTAGATGCATTAGATTCAGTCTAGATTAAGAAAGGCAGAAAAAGACCTAAAAAGTCTTGATTCAAAAATATTAGAAATTATATTTTTTATTAGATTTAGGCTTCGTTTGTGAGACTTTCTTACTGTTTCTTAAAGCGACTTTATAGTACCAAAATTAAAAATTTTGTAATAAAGTGCTATTTTAAGAAACAATAATAAAGCCATCTCACACGAAGGCATATATAAGAATTTGACCATTAATATAACACAGTGAATATCATAAATATTAAATATTTTAGGGGCCTTTTAGAACAATTTTTCATAATTTTATTTTAATGGTTATTGTCATATTTTTATTTATCTATATATATATTTTTAAAATTTGTATAATAAGAACCAGTCTTTTACAACTAAGTCTTGCTTTAAAAATTACAATATCAGCAACTTTTTTAAAAAAATTACAAATAGTTCTAACTTTTTCTAAGAAAATTACAACTGACCCAAATAGATGAATTTTGTTAAGGAAATTGTAAATTATTGCAATGGCCGGAATGACTATTTCTTTTCATTATATTATATTTGTGATTACCTGCTAAGTTTTCATATGAAATTTTTAGGCCCTACTATAGTACTATAAAAAAATAAAAAAAAATAAAAAAAAAAAAAACTCTTAGATTTATGCTTACTATTTTTTAAAACAATTTTTTAGTTAAAAATTTAAAAAATTTATATTAATAAACTGTTTTAAGAAACAGTACAAATTCCGTCCCTTAATTTAATATAATTAAAAACTTCATTATTTCAGTCTTATTATTATAACAATGAGGATTTGTTTTTTTTTTTAAATTCCAACAGAAAATCTTTTATACAAATACTATATATATTTTTGATATTTTTAGAGCCGTTCTTAATTAAATTTAATATCTTTCTTATACAAAATTTTTCATTTTTCATATAAATATTATATACACGTGTATATAGTTTACATAATATATACTCACAGTCCGAATGATTCTTTTCGTTCGGACTCCACATAAAATAATTTCTTATAAAAGATATACAGAGCATTAAAGACTAAATAGTTTTGAGAAAAGTATTATGAAAGTTTGGAATAATTATTATGTGTGGAGATCTAACAGTTCGGAGATCAATCAAAAATGCGTCATATCACCCAGTATACAATAATATCGAGCACCAGTATCAAATAAAAAAATAATGTGACACATTATGATTGATCTCCAGACGCCATCCTAAAGCTTGAGGCTAAGGAAATGGGAGGGTACAAATATTGATATCCAAACAAATATGACCTAAGGCTCATCCCCTTCCCAGCTAGCCTTGACTTTAGGCCCAGTGGGCCCTTCTTCACCGAACAACTCCGGCGGCAACCCATTCACCAGCTTCCTCGCCGTCTGCCTCCACTTCTCCGGCAACGACCTCTCGACCTTCTCCAACTCGTCCTCCACATCATAACTCACCTTGGGCCCCCACTCCCTCATATAGTCCACCCACGCCGGTGCCACCACCTCGTCCGCGGCCGGCGAGAGCTCCGCCGACACGATCTCGAACCTCTCCCCTGCATCCATCTTCTTCTTCCCCTTCCTGGCATCATTTCTTATCCCTATCCCCAGCTCTTCACTACCCTGCAAAACCAATCCCTCCCTCGGATAAAAAGCGTGCCCATACAGCGACGCATAAGCCACCGGCTTGTTCCCTTCCTGGCCGTCAAACTCCAGCTCCGGTGACTCCAACCATTCTCCCCTGCTGTGCTCAGAGAAGTAAACCTTTCTTAGCTCACCATCAAAGTTGCTTACTCTCAACGTCACGTGCTCCCAGTCGCCGACGTGCTCCCCTATCTTCCCAAGCCCGATGGTTAAAACTCCCAGCTTTAAGCGCCCTGGACCGTTGAAGGGGTAAAAGAGCCAGAACGCGAAGTCCGTCGCCGTCCCGCCAAGCATTTGCTTCACGTGAACGTATGACTTCGCTGACGAAAGTTCCCCCTTCTTCACCCTCTCCTTGTCCTCGCCGGCGGGAAGGTCGAGCCAGTAAGCGCCGTCGTTAGACCCGCCTTGAGGGAGGTTAGTGCCGCCGGAGTCGATTCGAGCCGGGTTGGTTTTGTCGGCATTGGAGTAAAGCAGGGCACCGTTATCGAAAAACCAATTCACCGACGATGGCAGGTAGGTTTCGTCAGGGTGGAAGTAGATCACCGGCGCGTAAGCTTTGATTATGGCATTGATCTGAGAAAGGTCCGGCATGGCGGCGGAAAGGCTAGAGTTTTGATTTTTAAGGCAACGAACAGGGGATGGGCCGCCGCCGCTGCTGCCCCCAGCCTTGCGGGCGATGAAGGTGCCGAGAGGCAGCCCCGGCGCCCGTTGGCCACGGACGGTGGGGACCAGCTCGTGAATGCTGATCCCGCCATTGTTATCAGACGACCAGAGCTCGACTTCGCCCTCCTCGCATTGGTCGGTGAAGTCGTCCCTGACGCAGCGAAGAGACTCCGGCGAGGGCTTCTCAGGCGAATTAGTGACGAGGTAACCAACAGGATGGTAGCCAGAAGGGGCGACGGGGAGCCAGAAGTAACCGCCATCGCTGCTGGACCATATCAGAGTGAAATCAGTGGGGGCGGCGAGGGCGGTGGCGTCGCCATCTCCAGCAATATCTCTTGCTACAAGCACGCGACCAAAGAAACGATTTTTATTCGGCTGTGCGCAGGCGCCCAGGGCATAGAAGCCGGTGGGGATGGAAGAAGGGAAGAAGAACGAGGCGCCGGCTGCGTCGCCACCGGCGGACCAAATCTTAGTAAAGGTAGAAACTTGTCGCACCTCAAGACCACCGAGATCTATACTTCCCTTCCCGAATCCTCCGCCTGCAAACAGATCCAAAGTTGAAACATTCAAGAAAAGAATCAGACGACAAAATGTGGTTTTGATTAAACACTTAATCACCTGACACCGACGAGGGCAGAGAAGAAGACATGATGAAGGGGCTATCAACGGGAAGGGACTGGTTTGATTTTGTGGACAGAAGATTGAAGCAGTTGCCCATGGCTCTGTAATGGATGTAAGAGAAGAGAGGAGCTACGGCAGTGCTGATAGAATGAGCAGGTTATTTATTGCTTGAAATTAAAGCCAAGAACAGTTTTTAATAATTATAATAAATTTTAAATAATTATTAAAATTATGTGACTGTTTGGGATATTGTGGTTATGAATAGGAGAGGAACACGTTTGTAGCGTGCAAGAAAATAAATTTTTTTATTGTTGAGACGTAATTTGCAATTATGTCATTAATGTACGCATGAGCTATAAGAGTTTAGAAAATTCAGACTTCCGTATATAGTTTCTTACTTTCTTGCGGTGACTTTCACACTTAGGCTTCTTTGGGACGTGTTTTTTATTGATTCTTAAAATAATTTTTTAGTATAAAAATTTTAATTATTGAACTAAAAAGTCGTTTTTGCACCATTTTTTTTCTTTTCTTAAAGAATTTTTTAATATAAAATTTAAATTTTTATTAAAAGACTGTTTTACAAATCAGTGAGAAAGCCGTCCAAAGTCTTAATGACAAATAAAACACATGGCACTTGTGATGTCAATTTTCTTAAAGAATTGACCTGATTTATTCCGAGTTAATTTTTGAAAAATTATACCAATATCTAAAATTAGAAAAATAAAATTATAATTAAAATACAATAATATATATTATGGAGAATATAATTTTGAAATTTGACTTATGATGACTCCTAAATAAAATTATTTGACTTGATGAAATTTAGGTCATTACATTAAATCTAAAGGCTGCAGTAAGTGAAGATTTAATCTAAGGTTTTTATCTAGGAGGCACATTTAGGTCATTACATTAACTTTTTTGGTTTGTTTTCTACTTCTTTAATATGAACTTGTTTACCCTTGACATCAACTTTACAATAAACGAAGCCTGGGTGCGAGCGCAAGTTCGGGTGCGTTCATGCATTGTTCAAATATTAGCGCGGGGTCTGCCTCATTGGTGTTGCGTGGGGAAAGGAGGAGAGCGGTGCGGCCTGCATGGCTGTGTGCGGGCTCTATGGTACGGAGGGTGAAGACACAAAATCCAAGTGCGGTTCGTCGTGTGCGAGTACATGAGCGGAGTTGAGGCGCATGTGTAGTATATTGGTGTGTCGTACGCTGGTGCGAAGGGATGGAGACATGGAGTCCAAACGTGGGATCAAGGCTCGAGCAGCAACCACTACAGCTTGTGCACATGCACAACTCACTACTCGACAGAGCTGGATCAAGCTGTAAAGGGAGAAGTCTAGAGTCCAGGTCATTTTTGGGTTAGTTTTGGATTTCCAGGTCAATCCAAATCCGACCCGATTTTATAAACAGAACAAAATCACGAACCCGAACTCAACCCGTATGGTGAACCGGTTGACCCAAATCCGAAAATTTTTTAGTCGGATCTTGGTAGGGTTTCGAGTTAGGTCAAGTTTTTACTTTACGATAATTAATATACACATTGACCCTTTTTTTATTAGCTTACAATATTGTGAAAGTTTTGGCTAGGATGAGTAAGAAAATTATCATATTTGCTTTGAAAGACATGCAACATATGAAGTATCTGTATTTTATTTATCTCAAAGTAAATTTTACGTTTAAAATTTATTATGATTAAAATTCTCTTATGATATCCTGACATAAAATATTAATTATAATTATGTCCATATCATTCCTTAATAAGAGCATTGATAATAGGTCTTTGATTATAGTCAGAGCATTTCAACATAATGAAAAGAAATAAGATAGGATAACGAGAACTTATTCATTTCCATGTCTTGGTACTCGCCAAAGGGGTATTTGTAAAACAAAATGTGCACTTAACTACACTAATTACAATTAGGATCACATAAACAAAACTTATATTTTAAGGAATGCCTCTATTTTGCAAGAGATTATATTAAAATAATAGCTATTAAAGCAATTAATCAAGTAATTTAGATAGTTAATGGTTATTAATATTAATATTAATTATGGCATAAGCAGGATAAATTACTATAGATTAATGATATATCATCAAAAAAATATCTTGACCGGCCACGAATCTCTAGGCAATAATTAAGTTGGAAGTTTCGAAAATTAAATTTGGGACCGTCTGAACTCCGATTTCAACAAATTTATAGTGGAACTGAACGTCTCGAAAATACAAATCCAACGACACCAAATTCGACTCAATCCGTGTGAAACCCTTAAACTTTCAAGTTATTGTTGGGGAAAAAAAATTTGTGTGCAATTAGTACGTACGAACCGTCTGTACGAACTGAATAGAGTTTTGGAAATTTGTATGGTTAGTATGTACGAACTGTATGTACGAATTGAGTAAAGTGTAGGTTCGTCTGTAAGAACCGTAAGTTCGTCAGGATGAGCTGAACAAAAATTCTTGCCCGAGGGCATCGTTCAGGGACGAAATCAATTATCGTTCGTACAATTAGTATACAGAGGAGATCGTCCTGGGACGAACGAGAAGAATCATCTGGACAATTGTAAATATCTTTTTAAGAACTGTTTGATTCGTTTTGAATAGAGAGAAAGAGGAGAGAGAAAACGAAGAAAAAGAGGAAGAAATTCGTGTTTAGGGCGTCTTCGGTCCGTTTTCGTCCGCCGTAGTTGGGAAAGTTGATCGACTCGAGGTAAGACACATTATGCATTTCTCAATTTTTAAAAATGTGAGTTTTGACAAATAATCCGATTAAAGTTTTGTTTTCGTTAGCGAAAAACGCTTATAACTTTGTACTGGTAAAACTTTTACCGCGTAACTTTTGGTATGTTTTAGAAATTAAGATTTTGCATGTTTTGAATATTTTTTGGAAAATTTTCTCATAATATTTTCAAATCTGCGGGGTTTTTATCGAATAGAAAATTATAGGGATGTTGAAAAATGTTGCTTCATTATAATTAAAGTTTTGAAATGATGTTTTATACGATCTCTGGTAATTTGGTAAATTTTTGAAACTATGAATTTCTGATCCGTTGAATTTATGTTGTCTACTGTTATACTCTTTGACGATATTCTGATACGAATCTGATTTCTCTGAATCTGATATGATTTGATTTTTAATGTGATTTGAATGATCTCAGAAGGTAGTTATAAGGGGCCGAAATCTTTGGAGATTTTGTCTGTGTCAGGGAAGGGAGGCATAAGGGGCCAGAATTCTTTGAGATTCTATATGTGTCCGGCAATATGAAAATGAATTCTGATCTGATAATTCTGTATATCTGATATATTTTGATGTTGTAAGTAGAAACAGATGCATAAGGGGCTAGAATCATTTGAGATTCTGTATGTGTCAGGGAAGGGAGGCATAAGGGGTCAGAATCCTTTGAGATTCTGTCTGGGTCAAGAAAATCTATTTTGAAATGTGATTTGAATATTTTTTTAAATTTGTTTTAAACTTTGATTTGAGTTCTGATTTGAAAAATTATGTGACATGAATTTGATTCAGCTCTTCTGTCTCTGTTATCTTATCTGTTTTGTACGAATATTTGTATTCTATTTGATTTCTGTTATGTATGAATCTCTAAACTATGTCTGATATTATGATTTATGTACGAGTATCTGAGTTCTGTACGGGTATTTGAATGATCTGTTTTTAAAGCTTTTGTGAATATTTTTGATATGAGAGTATTTGGACGTAAAAAATTTTTCATCGCACTATGCACCGCAAAAAACACTGTCATCATTCCTTCACATTATGCACCGATACAAACGCTGTATTTACCGACGCAAAATATTCCGCCGAAAAATCTGACGGTATTCATGTGTTTTCCCGTAGTGCTTGCTGAGTTGTTAGCTCACTGTGGTTATCTTCGTGGTTTTCAGGTTCTGGAAAGGGAAGGAAGTTTTGGATTAGCCGTTTAGGATTTGATCTGAAGTATAGGTATTTTTGAACTTTTGATTTTTATACAATCATGACTGGATTACTTTATGTTATATATCTTTTATCTGAAGTCATGTACTGTAATATACATGATTATTTTGAAGAATGAGAAGAAAGAAAATTAAGGATGAGCTTTTCTGTATATTTAGATGTTTATTGTAGCTATGTATTTTCTGTATGTATGTGTATTGGAAGAAAACTCTGAAAATAAATTCCAAAGCTAGATCCTGGATTCATCCATCGTGATTCAACGTGATGGAATTCATTCCGATCGGGTTGGGTCATGACAATCCGAGTCCAAATAAGTCTAAATCAATGACCCGAAGCGTATTTGGAGGGTTCAAACTATAATTTGGATTACCAAACAATTTACAATATAGTGTGCTTATGGTCGAATAGAGCGGTTCGATGAGACGAATCCAACGAGCCCAAGATCGTTGAATTCTGATATCATTAGAGCCTTTAAATGTCTGATAAATGGTCCACGATCAAGGGATTCAACATCAGTCATCCATTCAAACCACTCCCTATTTGCTCATAATCTTCCTCCTATTTACTTGTCATGCCACTCTCAGAAAACTATAAATAGCTCCTCATTTCTTTTAAGAGGGGACCCAAGCAAGAAGAGAAGATGAGAAGAGAAAGAAGAAGGCAAGAATGAGAAGAAGAAAAGGAAGAGAAGAAAGAAGCTCCTCCTCGACCACCACCAAAGTTCCAACTGAACTCAAAGTGACGCCAGAGTTCCGCCTGACCTTCAAATGATGCAGAATTCTGCCCCACTTCCAAGTGACACCATAATTATGTCCGATATCCAAGTGGTGCTAGAATTCTGTCCGACCTCCAAGTGACTCCAGAGTTCCGCCCGACCACCCAACATCGTCGGATCTGTGATTCTTGTTTTTAACTGCATTTCAACCAAAGAGTTGATTATTGTAATCTGATTGTCCTAAATTTTAGAGATGAATCAGTCATTTGTACTCCAATCAAATACTAGTGGAAACTTTTCAGACGGGCAAGGCCCCGTGGTTTTTCCCCTTTCTTGGATTTTCCAAGTAAAAAATTTTAGTGTTTTATTTTTCTTCTATTTGTGTGCTGTATATCCGTACAATGCTGAGATGAAAAATTTGAACTTTATCACCACATATATTCTAGCCTGCAATAATTAATAAATCAAAATAATTAGTAGTTAGCTAACAATGATAAGTCAAGGCATATCATATTCTAGTTTAACTAATTACAGTTGAATGAATTAATTATGAGTTAATTGCACTTAATTATTTTTACAAGAAAAAAAGATTCGTTGATAAATAATTTACTAATTTAAGTAATTATTATCCAGACAATAATAGAATGTTAATTTGAAGTATAATGTACTACAATTCAACTATTTAGCATTTAATGAAATAATTATCATTTAATTAAACTTGATTATGATAACTAGACACAAATAAATAAATCAATTAATTAAGTAAATAATAATGAATTACTAAATTAAGATGTAATTATACCTTAATTAGCTAGGCATAATAAAAATATATTAAAAGACCTTATTTCTACAACATGAAAGGTCCTAGACTTGAATTTGGCTGGAGCATGGTAATTTGAAGGGTTCTAGAGCTCTAATCGGTGCTCAGTGCTACCGATTATCGTCTAACTATCATATTCTAACTATCATCGCTCGACTGTAATAATTCAACTATCGTCTCCTGACTGCTATTAGCTGATAGTCATCGCTCGGTTGTCGTCATCCAACCACCATATCCTGATCATTATTGTTTCATCATCATAATCATTTCTGTATCATTCGATCACCATCATGTGACTGCTATCATTACAAATTTCAAACACGAAATATTTATAATTTTAAAATTAATTTATAAATTGAAATCAAAGAAATTAATACCATTTAAGTGTCATTAAAATATTATATACTAAAATTTAAATATTTTTTTAATAAAAATTAGATTAGAATATTGTTATTTAATTTATTTTTTCAAAAGAAGTAATGATTTTGGTAAAAATACAGAATCCCACACAAACCATTCATGCGATCTAATTCAAAAGTAGAACTTCATTAGGGGTATAACCGTAATTTCATTAGCAATAAACTGTTCCTTCTCCTTCTGATACTGTAAGTCCTCTCAGCTTAGCGAATTTGGGTTTGAAGCCAAAGATTCCAGTCTTCCCCACTGTTTATAATTTTGACTCCCTCTCTTTCTCTCTCTTTTATCCCAACTTTCCATGTCTTCTCTCTCTCCTCCCCTCTCCTCTTCTCTCACCCCACAGAATCGCCGGGCTTGGCCTCCCCGAAACCCTAGAATTCCCCACGTTTTCCTCTTCGCCGTTCTTCGTGTTCTGCCTCTCATACCCTTGGATTCCTCACGGCGCCTCATCGATTCGCTGGGTTACCAACTGGGTTAGGGTTTCTGATGCTATTCTATTGAATCCCGAACCGCGGTTGGCTTCTGAGTGAAGGAGCGATGGAGGACAATGTTGGAATCCCGGAGGATCTTCGTTGCAAGCGGTCGGACGGGAAGCAGTGGCGTTGCAGCGCGCTGTCGATGCCTGACAAGACCGTGTGCGAGAAGCACTACATCCAGGCCAAGCGCCGGGCGATGAACTCGGCAATGAGAGCAAACATGAGGAAGGCTTCTAAGCGCAAGTCTCTGGACAATTCCGACATCTATCTGGAGAGCCGGCGCCGGGAACGGGATGTGTCTAGGTCGTCTATGTCTCCGGTGAACCGTGTTGGAGAGTCGGCTTCGATGCCTAGTTTAAAGAAGCACAAGGACCGGGTGACTAAGAGCCGTGGGTTTTATTCATCGGCGGGGGTTCGAGGAGGCTCACCGCATCGTGGTGGTTTGCAGCAAAGAGATGCAGTGCCGGTGGATGGCAGTAGGGTTCAGCCGGTGTACTACACTCCTTCAAGCAAGGAGATGAAGAATTTTAGTGGGAACGGTGTTGGGGTGAGGAATTTTGATTTAGAGTTTGTTGAATTTTAGTTCCAGATCAGCATAATTCGTTCTCATGGTGATGATTGATGAAGTTTGAATTTGATTAGCAGGATTATTCTGGGAAAAGTTCTGATTCTTCCGGTGAAGCTGAAGGGATCACTTGCCATCACTGCCAGAGGAACTATAGGACGAATGTGGTGTGGTGCACAAGTTGCGATAGGAAAGGGTATTGTGATGGCTGCATCTTAAAATGGTAATGCTTATCCATTTGTTCATGTAACTTTTTTGGATGTCATATAAGCCTTTACTTTTCATGGTCTTCTTTTAGGTATGCTGAGATACCTATAGAAGATATTCAAAAAGCATGCCCAGCATGTCGTGGTATATGTAATTGCAGGGTCTGCTTGCGTGGAGATAACCTGATTAAGGTATTCTACCTCTTTTAATTGCTGCTTATTTAGTTAATTTCCTGTACTTTACTTCTGAAAAACCATGGCTTATTCATAACTTATAGACCCAACAAAAAATATGCTTTTCAGGCAAAGGTTGAAAGCATAGCTGCAATAGATAGGTTGCGATATCTTCACAGCCTTTTGGCCTTCATACTGCCCGTCCTTAAGCAGATATATTCTGAGCAGTGTTTTGAGATATCAATCGAAAAAAGAATATATGGTATTCATTTTTTTTTTTGTGAAATGTTTTTGAATTTATTTTCCTGTATAGTGAAGTTCATGACATAAGCTTTTACTCAGGAATCAAAGCTGACATTCCCAGAGAAAAAATAAATGCGGATCAGCAAATGCGTTGGTATTATTTTCCTGAATTTTTTTTTTTAACTTATCAATCGCCATGGATTTGTTATGACTATGTATTTTTATGCAGTGATCTTTGCAAAATACCGATTTTCGATTATCATCGTCATTGTACTCAATGTATGTATGATCTGTGCCTCACCTGCTGCCGTGATATCCGACATGCCTCTTTGATTAGTGACAAAGGAGAATCTGCGGCTGAAAAAGCTTATAATGATGAATTGATGCCTCGATCAGCTGATGTGGGTGGTTTAGATTTTACAGGGTTATTTCCCAAGTGGAAGGTGAACAGTGATGGAAGCATACCATGCGGTCCTGGTGAAGCTGGTGGTTGTGGCTTTACAAAGTTAATATTACGACGCATTCTCAAAATAAACTGGACTGGAAAACTTTTAAAAAATGCAGAGGAAATGGTGAATGGGTGTGTAGGATCTGATCTGCATGGCCCTGATAGATGTGTTTCTTATTGCACAGGAACTTCAAATTCTAGTTTAAAGGATTCAGTTCAAACAGATCTACTGAAGTGCTCCTCCAGAGATGATAGCAGTGATAATTTCTTGTATTATCCTGCATCAGAGGATATTAAACTTGAAGGCATCAATCGTTTCCATAAGTTTTGGGTCAAAGGTCAACCAGTTATTGTAAAAAACGTGCTTGAGCGTTCATTGGCATCTGGATGGGAACCTAAGGATATCTGGAAGGGGGTTCAAGAAACTTTAGATGAAGAGATGAATGAAAATGATGTCGTTGTGAAGGCTATTGATTATCTAAGCCAGTCAGAGGTACTTAACATTAGTTAGTATTTCACATTATTTTAACAGAATTGTGCAAAAACTTTAATGAGTTGTGGTATATTTTTGTCTTTTGTTTGTGCAAGTATTTGGTCATACATTTTTACCAGATTTATTAATGCTTCAATGCTGTGAAATTACTGGTATCATATGAGTGCTCATTTTTTGAATGATTGTCTTCATTTTCATGCCAAGTGATTTTGCTAATACTTCTTATATACAGTGCCTTCAAAACCTTTTCCTATGGTTGTTTGCATCTTGGAATGAAAAGCAAGGCTCGATTTATATTGTTTGAACCTCACAATTTGTGTTGACATTCTATAATTATGATGGTTTTTTTTTTTCTGAACATTCTAAGCTTATGTAATATATATTTAATCTTTCTTCTACATTTGACTTCTTGAAGAAGCCTTCGCTTTTCTCAATTGCTACAGTCCATTGATAGCTCACTGGATAATTGCTATTGCAATTCTATTTTTGTTGTTCTGAATGTGGCCTGTCTTATCCTAAAAAATTTGGATTTCTTCTGATGTCATAATTTATGCAACTTTCCTCATACCTTCTCTTTTATTTGGTTGTACGAACGGATTGGAAATCAAATTCTTAGGCAGTTTTTAGATTGAGGAATTCCAAAATTAAATGCAGGAGGTTGGCTTATTAGAGTTCACTTACAATGCCTACATTGCTTCTCTCCCGAAAGATCATCCATTAAAAATCATTTTGCTGTTTGGATTTTCTATGGGGTTAGTTTGACAGACATAGCCAAAGTTTAACCTCTGCATTGATTAAGGTAAGGGCTCAAGCTGGAAACGAAACCCAGGGTATGTTGTTTTCTGTTTATTGTGGGAATTTTGCCTATTGTGAGAATTTGACAAGAGTATAAAGTTTTGTAGGTTTGCATTGCTTTGTCTTGTATTTTATGTACTTTTGAAGCTTACCTTTGGCATCAATGTGGAAAAGAAACTTTGCATGGCATACTGCTTGTTAAGTTGATGAACTAATCTTGTAATGTAAAGCACTTAGAGCATTACTTATATGACTAATAGAATGAGGAAAGTTTGCTTAGAGCATTGTTTATCTCACTTCTTTTTTACACGGGATAATTTTGTCGAACCGCAAATGGTTTTAACACCCATATGAGCAGCTGTTGCTGTCTTAGTGTCTTTTCATTTTCCTGCATTTCATCGGTTAATGACTACTTTAGGCAAACTTCACTGTTTATTCATAGTGCTATACTTTGATTTGGAATCAAAATGGATTCATGGTAATGTCAGAAAGGATACAATGTGGATGGATTATTGTAATGTAGGCGTTGCAACAATTTAGGAAAGTAAAAAACAATGCAAAATATGCAGGCAGGGAAATAAGTTTTGTTCTTAAGACTCAGGAAGGAAAGTGTTTAGATGACATGCAGCATTTAGCAAGTACGACTGAAGAAGATGGGTCATTGAAATAAGGCTAATGATAATGCACATAATAATGATATTGCAGATATTGGGCTATTTGTTTAAAGATTCTAATTATTATTTTTAACTCTTGCAGGTTGATATTGAGCTTTCTCAATTCATCAAAGGATACTCAAAAGGATTTAAAGATGAAAGTGGTTGGCCTAAAATGTTGAAATTGAAAGATTGGCCCCCTCCAAGTGCCTTGGAAGAGTTTTTATTGTGCCATAGACCTGAGTTTCTTAGCAATTTTCCATTGGTTGAATTTATTCATTCCAAATGGGGTCTTTTAAATCTTGTCTCTAAGCTGCCACATGATACTCTACAGTCTGAAGCAGTACCCAAGATTTTCATTACTTATGGTACATGTAAGGAGCTTGGCAGAGGTGATCCTGTCACCAAACTTCAGATTAACATGAGTGACATGGTACGTCTCTGATAAATATTTTTTGCCCTTTTTCACATTACGGATTTATTATATTTTCTTGTAAAGCATTTATGGACTGTAATCCAAACAAGAATGTGGAAATCTACCGTGTTGTCATTGCAGCAAAAAAATTATACAATCATTTGCTTATAAAGCAATTCTTTATATATCATGATTTCCATGCACTGAAATGCATATTTTTAATGTAGGGCTAGATTTGCATTTTTTGGCTAATGAGTCTATATGATTTGCATATATATGATTGCAAGCATTATTCTGATAATGATTTGTAATTGGCCAATGGCCTTGTTATGTAGGTAATTTAAGTGAAAATATGAAATCAAATATACATGCTCAAATATTTAAATTGCTGTTCACATTTCTTATGTTGCTCGAAGAAACATATACTTGAGGTTTCAAATCTGAATGGAATCTTTTATCTATTTTTTCTCAAGTAAAAGACTGATATTAGCCTTTGTTGGAAGCTGCTGTGCAACTTGAAAAGGGTGATGGTTGTAGGACAGCGGCAGAATTTCTTTTTCTCTCTTTTCTGCTACATGCTCTACTTTTATGTTTTCTTGATGCCCAGGCCATGGCGTGAAATTTTTTTTACTTTATGTGCTGTAAATTTTAGGGGAAAGGGATGTTAAGTACTAATTACATAAACTAGCCCTGGGAATAGAATTTGCAAATTATACAAGTCACCTTTTTTGTAATACCGTATCTTAATCATTTCTTCTATTACACCATCCTTCCAACTTACATGTGAACATTATCATTGAGGGAGGCATTTACACTGCTGCATAAACTCAAATAAAAGGGACGTGAAATGTTAATTATATAAACTATAGATTTCTGGAGTGCTCAATTAGTTGGTTTCCTGATTTCTTCTCGTTTTTTTTTTTTTTTTTCATTTTTGTTTAGCTTTATCTTAATAAGCTATTTTAACTCATTTTGGTATCTGCTAACTGGAATCAGGCTTGTCTTTTAATGCATACTGCTGAACCTGATTCTGGAGGTTATCAGAGGTCCATTGTTGAAAGGCATGATAAACTTTTGGGGAAATCTGAAGAATGCAATCCAGCTGGGGGAAGTGACAGAATTGATTTGTGCAAATTTGCAGGAGAGGTAGACTATCAATCATACTCGGGCACTGGAGTTAATTTCTTGGAAAAGAAAAGAAATGAAGCTGTCCTTTTAATTGGAAATTCCGCAAAAAACCACGACAAGGCTGGAACCATTTGGGATATTTTCCGGAGGCAAGATGTGCCAAAGTTGAATGAATTTTTCAGAGTTCATTCAGACCATTTTGCAAATTCTGTGAGTTTACCAGTTGGTTAAAACTTCTTCTTAATTTGCATCTCAGCAAGAATACTTTTAGTTTTAATCATTACCATTGAACTTGAATACCATTGTTAATCCAGGCTACCCTTCCTGTTTATGACCAAGCTCTCTATCTGAACAATGAAACCAAAAGAAAATTGAAGGATGAATTCAGTAAGTGTCTGTCGGTGATTACATTTACATTTAGAGTACAGAGAATCAAATGTTTGTGTATCTCCAATTCTGAGTGAACATCAACTTCTTTTATAATCCAGATTCACAACTTGTTTAGCGACTATGAAATTTGTTTAGAGTTTTTATTTTTGCAATATCTGAAAGCGAGTTCTTTACTTTTTCTACACCAAATGTTGAACTCTTTTTGGACAAAATTCAGGTGTAGAGCCATGGACATTCCAGCAGCATGTTGGGGAGGCTGTATTTATACCTGCTGGCTGTCCTTTTCAAGTTAGGAATCTTCAGGTTAGCCACAATTATTGTTCACCGAAACTTATATTATATTTTAATGAAGTTCCACAATTTTAGTAGATGAGGCTCTTTTTTTTGCTGTGTTAATACTGAATTGCTTTTCATATACTAGTTTCGATTTTTGTGGGGAACATTACGGGAATTGCTATCATCGTGCACCAATATTTTTTACATAGTTTCACATAACAAAGATTGCACTTGCGGAGCATTTGATCCATTCTTTTGTGAGTCGAGACCTATATTTTCTTACAACACCGCCTTTTATTCATTCCATGACAATGACATGCAAATAAGATTAACCATACTTTATTTTAGTATTACATGCGTGTAGTACAGTAAGTAGTTGAAATAGAAAAAATCATTAAGACACTGTTGAACTGACACAAAATTCAAATGCCTATAACTAAAGGGTATGTTTGAGCAGGGGCGGAACCCCTTTATTGCTGGGGGGGGGGGCAATTGACCCCCTCTTAGGCAATTGCTCCCAGTATAATTAAATACATTAGGTAGATGTGTTATTGTTAGGGAATGATGAACCAAATACAAAGAGAAATAGTAAATCAAAATTTGTTCTGGGGGCGCTGCCCCTTGACCCCGGGACCTGATCGGGCAGGTCGAATCCCGGCAGCCCCTTGGACTCCCGACATATATGCGAACAGTTACCCCCCCCGAAAATTATAGTTGGTTCCGCCCCTGTGTTTGAGATAACTTTTTAGTTTTGTTTTTCAAATATCAATCATAATTTTATTTGGCTGCTGCTTTATTATTGTTTTCTCACTGTTTTTCAAAAAATTTTATGATGAAAAGTTGATTTTTACATTCATAGTAGTCAAGTTACTTTCTGTATAACCATTTTACAACCAAATTTATAAAATGGACCCTAAATAAGAAACAGGAAGCCTCAAAGCTGCTTGTTCTAATAAAAGTGGAAAGCATTTAATTTAGTTACTGTGAAGTAAGCTTCCATTTCATTGTTAGCGATTTAAAAAATTTTAGGCAGCACATGCCAATGATATTTCTGGGTATTTCTGGTTCCTGGCAGTCTTGTTGCATTTTTTTGGAAGAAAAATCAATTACTCTGATTTATTTGACATATATGCAATAGTGCTGCTATGATTTACATCAAATGTTAATTGCTGTAGTTTCAAAATATGGATTTGGCCCATGTTCGAAAAGGATGCATTTAAGTGTGTGTATGATCTGTGGTTGCATTTGGAGCAAATCACACTTAAGTGCACTTAAGAGTTTAGGAACTGTTGTGATCTATAAAAATTTGATTTGCTAAAAAAGATCAGCGCATAATATGTGTGGGTTTGAAGTGGTGATGTATTTAGTTCGCTTTTGAAGCTGAAAATGCTCAACTATACGCTTCAGCTATTGTAATTTGTTAACCATTTCTTCGCTTCTATTGCTTAAACTTGTGGTGAATAGTTGTTATATGTTTTTCTTTTCTTCTTTTCGGTTCCTCTCCCTTTGGCTATGCTTTAATGTTGTCATTCATTTGCTATTTATATGAGCTTGTACTTCTTTATATTTGCTTAGTTATTTTCTTTTGAGTTATTTCTGCATCTTTTATACTGTTATTCTTCTATATTGAAGACTTTTTAACTTCTAGCTACAAAGGTACAATGTCATGCTGCAATGTAGTTTTTTTATTATTTCTTGGTGTGTGTGCGCGTGTGTGTATATATATATATATACACACTCGTTTTCCTTTATTCTTTTGACACTGTATTTTTTTAGCGCTTCTTTTGTACAAATCATCCAAGTTAAAGTGACTTTTTAGTAAAAAATTAAAAAAATTTAACTAGAAAGCCGCTTTAAGAAGCAGTAAGAAAGTCGTCCCAAACGAAATCTGTCCCTTTCATATATTTGCCATGGTCCACAAATGTATTTCGCCTAATCTTCTATTTTGCTCTATGTTATCTTAATTGTTTTATAATAACATAAACGTCCAATGTGGAGTTTAATCTCCTTTTTTTTGTGATATTTTTTAAGTGAACTTTCTTTTGATAATCCATTTTCAGCTAATCCTTCTCTCTATGACTCTGTCAGTCTTCGGTACAATTGGCCTTCGATTTTCTATCCCCTGAGAGCTTGGGCGAGTCCGTTCGAATGGCACAAGAGATCCGTTGCCTTCCTTCCGACCATGAAGCCAAGCTCAAAATGCTGGAGGTACAATACGCAAAAATTCACCCTTATTTCTCTTTCTTCAATTACTCTTTTTTTACTTCCTGTAATTTTTTTTTTGCTCCAGGTGGAGAAAATGTCTCTGTATGCTGCCAGTTCTGCTGTCAGAGAAGTTCATAAGATCGCACTTGACCCCAAGTAATTCTTTTTCATTATTATTATTATTAAAATTGTATAATATTTATTGTCTAAATAGCATCAAAGCAGTTATAAAAAAAATTAATTTAATTTCATTATTTTGTTAGGCTGAGTTCAGAAATAAAATTTGAGGAGAAGAGGCTTACAGAGATGGTTTCTGAGAATTTGGAGAGGATTTCAAAGCGAAGAAGGCAGATTGCTTGTCCTTAACGGCCATCTTATTATTTGTATATTTTTGTTATGGTGTAAGATAGATAAGTGTATAGATTGTAGAGTATCATAGAACCATATTTAATTCAAATGATTTGTTTCGATTATTGTCAATATCAACTTATTATTGGCTTGTTTGTAATTTACGAATAGTTCAAAGGTTGCGTATTATTTGAAGTTTTAGTTATTTTTTCTTCATTAATTGATTCAATTAATGTACAATTTTTTTGTTAGCTGTAAGTCATATTTAAATTAGTATTAATATTAATTTATTTTTAAAAATAAAAATTTCCCAGAAAATTGGAGATAATTTTATAAATAGGGGGGTATTACAAATTAAAATTAGGAGCGTTGCTAAAAAAATATTTAAAAAGGAGAAACGGCGTCTTCAAGCGGCAGGAAAAACTCCGGCGGCGGTGGTCGAGGAGGTGAGGAATCTCCTTTTCCCCTTTCTCCTCTTCTTCTTCTCTCTTCTGCGAGTTCCTGGCGTTTCCTGAAAGTTCGGCAGAGTTTCGATAACTTCAGGCAGCATGAAGAGCTCCGGCGGCGGTGGTCGAGGAGGTGAGGAATCTCCTATTCCCTTTCTCCTTCTCCTTCTCTTCTTCTTCTCTCTCTTCACTTGAGTCCCCTTGGTGTAGAATGAGGGCTCTATTTATAGTTTTTCTGGAGTGGCATAGCCCGTAAATAGGCGCGAGATCAAGGGTAAACAGGGAGTGGTTTGAATGGACGGCCGATATCGAATCTTTTGATCATGCACCGTTCGTTGGACATTTGAAGGCCTTAATGATTTCGGAATTTGATGATCTTGGGCTCGTTGGATTCGTCTCGTCGAGCCGTTCGATTCGAGTATAAGCTCGTCAAAATCGGAGACCGTTTGGTAACTCAAATTGCGGTTTGAACCTCCCAACAGCGCTTCGAACCTTTGATTCGGACTCATTTGGGCTCGGATTGGGTTGATCTTGGTGTTGTTGGGTTTGTATTTCCGAGACGCTCAGTTTGACTATAAGCTTGCTGAAATCGGAGTTCATATGCTCCCGAAATTATCTTTTGAAGTTTCCAACTAGGTTTTGCCTCGAGATTCGTGCCTGATCAAGATAATTTTGCGATACCGTATCAGTTCTAAAAATAAATATAATTAATATTGATATATACCTCCAAAACTTTATTTTGATCAGGCACGAATCTCAAAGCTAAATTAAGTTGAAAATTTCTAGAATTAAATTTGGGATCATCCAAACTTAGATTTCCGTAAACTTTAGTGGAACTGAACGTCTCAAAAAAAAATAAACCCATTGATATCAAATTCGACCCAATCCAAGCTCAAATGGGTCCAAATCAAAGACCCAAAGGGTATTTGAAAAGCGTAAATTCATGAGCAAACAGTTTCCAAACTTGACATGCTTATAATTTGAAGGCTGCGTATTATTTAAAGTTTTAGATATATTTGCTTTCATTAAATGATTCAATTACCAAAACATTATATTTTATTATTGAATTAAACCGTAAATTATTTGATTTCTTCTAAGATACCCAAAATATACTATATATAAGTTTATCTTAATTGACTTAAATGTCTCAAAAAAATAAATACTCATTATATAGTAAAAATAAAGATTGTACAGCTAGAAATTAACTTAGCTATAAATGAAATATTAAAGTTTATAGGATTGTATGAATGATATAAATGAATTATAGGAGTGGTATATTTAATATTAAAGTTGTACATGAATGATAGACATGTAATATTAATGTTTTGAGTGTTAGATTATAAATAGCATAAAATAAAGTGGTATGTATGTAAATTTTACTATTTTTTATTGTGCTTTTTAGGGTTTTCACAATATGCTTGGTTCAAAAAAAGGCTATCAACTTTTTTTAAAAAGGATATAAAATCAAAATAACTTCCAAAAACTCTATTATCCTCTCAATAACTGTATAACCAATTTCAGCTACAGCTGAATCAAACGAACCATAATCTCTATAAAATTTCATTTTCACCAAACTTAATTGTTTCTAAAAATAAGTGAGAGCATCCAATGAATTATGTTCAAACTTTTTAGAATGGAAAGCATATTTCAAACTTTTTTTTTGTTTGGAACGGGGTATCTACCGCTGCCACCCCCTAAAGGAGGCGCTTGACCGAGTAACTAATCCCTTGACGGGCCTAGCGGCAATCAACCCCACAGGTGCCGGACCACGAACTTATTTTCTACCCACTTAAGAAGTCCCGCATCTTGAGAGAAAAATCGAACATGAGTTGGGGGGTTATCAACTACGCTCGTCCACCAACCTAGCTAAGCCCGATGGGATAGTATATTTCAACTAAATAACTTCTTTTTAAAAACGTAAAACATTGAAATAAGTAAAAGAATCCAAACAAGAAAATTTTCTCAATCCTCTGCTTTTTTTTTTCACCCAACTTTCAAAACTTACTATTATTCCAGGCTATTACTTCCTCTACTTTCAATCAAAATGATTGCAGAAGATAAACTGACCTTGTGATTGATAGAGATATTGAGCTAAAGACCTGTACTGAAATCTCAAAACTCAAAACATGATAGTGTATCATCAGCATCAGTTTGATTTATTTTTATCACTTTTATCTTGTTCTGGTGGCAAAGATATGAACTGAAGTATTTGCTCCACCTGGACAGAATCAACTCCAAATTTTTTTGCTATATTTTGAATATCCATTGGACCCTTGTGGTCACCAGATTTTCCCTGATGCAGAAGCATAATTTCCTGCAACTGGGCAATAGTTAGGGTTCCTGGGAGCAAGGGCTTCTGACCATCTCTCCCAGATTCTCCTACCGAGCTGCGGATTTTGGGCAGAGGTCTTTTATACTTTTGAACAATGAAAGCCTGCAGTTTAGGAAAGAGAGATCAGCAGAGCAAGGAAAATATAATTGGGTACAGTGATTGATCTGGAAGAAAGAGATCCTTGAACAATCTAGTTGTCAATAAAGGTTTGAAGATCAGGGTACTCTAATTAGAAGAAAAACTCGTGTTATTGGTTTTAATAGGGACATAGAAAAAGCTTATCAGTTGTGAAGAGCTCATGCTAGGCCCCCCTTAGAAGCTCGATTATTTGTTAGGCAAGCTGAGCTTGAATACATATTTTGCGCTCTTAATCTGAATGAGTGAAATACAAAAAGAAACATCTTCAATTGTGTGTGTATATGTATATATGTGTGTATATTGTTATGCTTTATGTTGGCTAAGATCTAAGAACTGCATTAAAAAATAATATAATAAGAGTCTAACACAAATATACATGTTCCGAATCAAAGGTTAGAACTAAATGAGAAAATGTCTTTAACTAACGGTCAAATAAAATCTTGAACAAACTCAGAGAAATCATAACATTTTAAAAGTTCAGAAACATGAGTCTAGGGAAGTGCAAACTATAAGTATACACAAAATACCATGAACGATATACCCTGCAAAACCAAAGTCATATTAATGTGTTGCCCTAGGATGTTTGACTGTGTTGACCTTTATATATGTGGCATGGTCAATGCAAGCAAAGGAGACGACAATTGATTATCGTTGGTAGACAAGACATCGCTCAGAATGAAAATTGAAGTGTCTCGACTAGGATGAAATTATTCAAATTTTCTTAACACAGTGGGAGGAAGCTCGCTACGACGCTTGCGACGAGGCGGGCGAGAATATACATGCCTTTCTTAGCACGGCAGGGCAAAATATAAGTACTCGTACGCGCCTCAGTGCCGTCAGGAAAACATCTGTGTTTTCAAACAGGCACATTCGAAGACTCATACATGCCTTTCTTGTCATTGTGGGATTGAATAAATACGGCCGCGAAGTCACCCGACGCCGACCATACACGCCTTTCTTGGCGTAGTGGGCAGGCCTAGAATCTTTGTAGATGCCCCCTACGCGGGGGAGATGGCGGGATGCTGCCTAAAATTTTATTGAATATATTTGAGGCAATATGAAATTTGAATTTAATTTTAAGAAATTAAATTTAAATTACATAATTTTCTTAAAATTAAATTACATAAATTGAATTGCATTAAAAAATATATTGATTATGCCATTATGGACTGATATTTTTACAAGAAATGGAATTGCTATTTCTTCTCAGTCATCCGTTGCCATATAAGTTTAATAGTTTTAATGTGAATCGTATAGAGAATCGGCTTAGTTTAAAGCAATGCAAGTTCTTTTTTAGTGGGCAAAGAAAATTTTCATCCTCTATTTTGAAATCCTCTTTTAGTCTGAGAAGATCAGATCAAGCATCTTATGAAATCAATAATTTAGTTGAGAAAGAGGGGTTCAAGCTTCTATGTTATCTTGAGGAACTTTATAGTCAAGATATTGCCATGGTCAAGGATGGAACTTGCTACATGTAGTTGATGGAAATGACAAGGCATGTTATTGCCTTCAGAAGACCCATCTATTTGTTCTCATAACACAAATTCCAAAGAACCACATGTAAAATGGGGATTTACAAATGAATCAAAACCTTGGGATACTGAGTGGCATACTCTATAGATCTATGAAGAGACCAATTTCAAGATTTTGTACAACAGATTGTCTTAATATTATGAAATAACTTGGTGCATGAGTGTTAGAGTTGATGTGACAAGTCCAAATCAATAGAAAGACAAAGAAAGAATATAATTTGATATATTGTAGAATCTAAAAATACACTATTGCCTCAATTAATAGTTCGACAAGTGCATAACTATTTCAATAAATATAATTAAACTTTGAGAAATTTATTAACATTTTGAAAAGCACACTATTAGTTTTTAGGCATACTTTCAACTTCTAAAAGATCCCTATCTTGAGAAGCATATTGTTGATAATGTTCTAAAAAAATAGGCATGTACTGACCTCCAGAAAGTATTATCATTTAGAAACGTGCACCATGATTTCAATAACTATATTCCTTAGAGCTTCACAACGTCACATCAATAAGTGTGCAATCATATTGATAAGTGTGCATACAATTCAATAAGTTTGTGAAATTCAAACGCCACCAGATTTGCAACACGTTTACAAGCATACATAAGGCGTTTGTAGGTCCCTAAATGAAATTTTATGCATATCCGAATGACAATCACCTACACAAATAATCATATTTGAGTATTTAAAATGCCACCCCCCCCCAACCCCCCTCCTGCATTCAAATAAAATTTTCTAAATTTCAATATGAAGCATCGAGTAAGGTGTCGATGCCTCTAGATGTGTGTAGCAGCCTTGGAAAACAAGCGACTTCCTTGAGAAGAGTGCAATTTCTATGAGAAGCGAGTCAATACCTTGAGAAGCGTGCATATTAAAATACTAAGCATTTTAAAAACCCCGCATATGCTTTGACAAAATGCACTAAGCAAATAAATATAAAGTCTGCGAATGTTGTGTTGGTCAAAAGTGAACCTAAGTTCAAATCTAATCCTCATGTTCGAATAGACAGGAGTTGACACAACTTTAACTACTAATAAATACAAGGTCATGGTGCCGACCGAAGTATTTGATTTTATAAGTTCATATTAGATATTCAAGGTCTATTAAAAGAAATGTTCACTAATAAAAGGATAAAATCAATACTAAACCAAATCTTCTGTAAGCATGCAGAGCATGTAGATAGAATTGATATGGTTTAAATAACAAATATAAAAGCTATTTAAATTCCTAATGATAGCTATATTGAATGTTTATATCAACTAGAGGGAAATCTAGACCTTCAGATGCCTCCAAATGCTTATGAAATGCAAATATTTTAAAGTGGCTACAATAACACCAAGACGATGACAGTATTAAAAGCTAATCTGAACCGGAGGAGACCTCAAATATTTAAAATGCCCCCAAATTTAAAAAATAAATCATATTTGGAACAAAATTTTGATAAAATAGAAAAACTCAAATTTTATAATATACAAATATTTAAATAAAATTTACTATTTAAAACTTAAAGCAAAAATTCATCCATCATGTTGACTGTAACAGCCACCTCACGACCGAAATTAAAAACGCCTCGATTCCCGATTTTGCCTTTTAAAACCTTGGTTGCCCTAGGATGTTTGATTATGTTGACCTCTATATGTGTGACATGGTCAATGCAAGCAAAGGAGACGATTATTGATAATCATTGGTAGACAAGACTTCGCTCATAATGAAGATTGAAGTGTCTCGACCGGGATGAAATTATTCAAATTTTCTTAGCACGGTGGGAGAAAGCTCGTCGTGATGCTTGCGACGAGGCGGGCGAGAATATACATGCCTTTCTTAGCACACAGTGCAAACTATAAGTACCTGTACGTGCCTCAGTGCTGTCAAGAAACGACTGTGTTTTCAAACAGGTACCTTTGAAAACTCATACACGCATTTCTTGGCATTGTGGGATTGAAGAAATGCAGCCGCAGTGTCACCCGATACCGACCATTCACACCTTTCTTGGCGTGGTGGGCAAGCCTAGAATCTCCGTAGATGCCCCCTACGCGGGGGAGACGCCGGAAGGCTGCCAAAAATTTTAATGAATAGAATAATTTGAGGCAATCTAAAATCTGAATTTAATTTTAAGAAATTAAAATTGAATTACATAAATTTTCTTAAAATTAAATTACATAAATTGAATTGCATTAAAAAATATGGATCGATATTTTTACAAGACATGGAATTGCTATTTCTTCTCAATCATCCGTTGTCATATAAGTTTAATAGTTTTAATGTGAATCGTATAGAGAATCGGCTCAGTTTAAAGCAATCCAAGTTCTTTTTTAGTGGGCTAAGAAAATTTTCATCCTCTATTTTGAAATCCTCTTTTAGTCTGAGAAGGTCAGATCAAGCATCTTATGAAATCAATAATTTAGTTGAGAAAGAGGGGTTCAAGCTTCTAAGTTTCTTGAGTAACTTTATAGTCAAGATATTGCCATGGTCAAGGATGGAACTTGCTACATGTAGTTGATGGAAATAAGGCATGTTATTGCCTTCAGAAGACCCATCAATTTGTTCTCATAACACCAATTCCAAGGAACCACATGTAAAATGGGAATTTAAAAATGAATCAAAACCTTGGGATACTGAGTGGCATACTCTATAGATCTATGAAGAGTCCAATTTCAAGATTTTGTACAACAGATTGTCTGAATATTATGAAATAACTTGGTGCATGAGTGTTAGAGTTGATGGGACAGGTCCAAATCAATAGAAAGACAGAGAAAAAAATATAATTTGATATCTCGAATCTAAAAATACACTATTGCCTCAATTAATAATTCGACAAGTGAATAATTATTTCAATAAATATGATTCGACTTTGAGAAATTTATTAACATTTTGAAAAGCACAGTATTATTTTTTAGGCATGCTTTCAACTTCTAAAAGTCCCTATCTTGAGAAGCATATTGTTGGTAATGTTCTAAAAAAAATAGGCATGGACCGACCTCGAGAAAGTATTATCATTTAGAAACTTGCACCATGATTTCAATAACTATATTCCTTCGAGCTGCACACCGTCACATCAATAAGTGTGCAATCATATTGATAAGTGTGCAAACACTTCAATAAGTTTGTGAAATTCAAATGCCACCAGATCTGCAACACGTTTACAAGCAGACAGAAGGCTTTTGTAGGTCCCTAAATGAAATTTTATGCATATCTGAATGACAATCACCTACACAAATAATCGTATTTGGAACTTGCTACATGTAGTTGATGGAAATGACAAGGCATGTTATTGCCTTCAGAAGACCCATCTATTTGTTCTCATAACACCAATTCCAAGGAACCACATGTAAAATGGGGATTTAAAAATGAATCAAAACCTTGGGATACCGAGTGGCATACTCTATAGATCTATGAAGAGTCCAATTTCAAGATTTTGTACAACAGAT